AGCCGGGGATTGTGAAAATAGTCTGGAGAGGTTTCCTTCTTGTACAAAGAGGCGAAATAAGAAGAGTGATAGGATCCCACCACTTCTAGTACAAGCGGTCAGTTGACAGTGAGAGATCATGGAGTTTCATAAGCTGAAGCTTTATAAGAATATTTTAGCAAAGATTTTTCTGCAGAAAATAGTAGAAGATCAACAAGAAATCACAATAATAGCGGTTTATTGACGGAACCTCTGGTCTCTGAGAAAGGAGCTGTCTTACGATCACCTCAATATCTGGAACCTGATAAGCCAAATGATCCTGGTTATGTTTACCCCACGATTTTAAAAGTTGAGCCTTTATCAAAACTGTTTGACTGTCAAGAGCCTAGAAGTAATTACCAGTTCTGTTTACGAAGTGGATAGCATAGACTTAAGTAGTAGCTTTCATCCATTTGGTCTAACGAGTAAAGTCTTTAAACCAACGTAAAGGAATAGTAGGGTGGTTATTCCAAGCTATGTAGAAAGAAATTATGTTTATCCGGGAAATGATAGACGTGAAAGGAAAGGCCATTCATGCTTGACGAGATGATCTAATGCTGACTTGCCTTATAGTCAACTTTTTATGTGGCGTTATTATGTCTTATCTTTTTCTTCCATCCACGGTGATCACCTGAGATGATATTACAAGAAAGCTCAAAAAACGAGGTGAGAAACTTTACGTTTGGAGTTTCGTTTCTCGGATCGGTAGCAAATCACACAAATGAAACCCGCCTTAATACGCGTTTTCTTAGGTTATTGTTTCTATGGCACCTGTTTTCTGGGGTCATTCGTGCCATAGGTATATTTGAGGTGAGTGCTTGAGACCATTATGTTAATCATTTTGATGAAAAAAGTTGAGCTGTGCTGGACAATGTGTTCTCTCACCATGATCACCATTGCAACAAGCTTGTTACATCGAAGTAGCATTACCAGTATAACTAATCATCTTTCAAAAGCTATAAATGTCACAGTCTTCATTTAATATTTATCTCATGTATACAGGATACGTCATTATAAATACAAATCCTGTCGCGTAGCAGCATCGTTTGTGGTCTATTGTACCAGGAAGCTTAAAGTATATTCCTGAACAACAGTTTTCAGTGCTGACCTGCTAACGAAGATTTTCATTGCTGAACATCTGGAAATCACACTTCTTACCCCATTTAGTGGTTCGCAGAAGCTATCAGTTGGTGGTTGTACTTGGACAGATGGGTCAACCAATGTATTCAGGAAAAAGAATAAGTAAAGTTTAGAATGCATTTATAAGATCCGTTTTGAATATTTTGTATGTGAAAATCCCTCCATGTATACATTTGCAGTTTGTTCCTATTGATTCCTACAGTTGTACATTGCTAGTCTTTTTGGTTCCATTTGAGTTGCTAATATTTGCATTTTATGATAGTTTTTATTTTTCCTACGCATTCACTAGGTTTCCATCTTTCTTTCTGAACTGCATTTATGCTGTTTTGCTTAATACTTAGTCTTGGGGCAGCAATATTGGTTTGTTCATAATTTTGATTTCGTTGCTTGTGTTGACTGGAAATGTGCATTATTGATTGTGAATTGAGGCACTCTTCCAGAATTGGAGACACTGTCTTATAAAGCAACCAAATATTATCTTTTGAACGAATCTGTGCGTGGTCTATCTAGACAGGATAGAACAATATTTATTTGTTATGACTGGTAATTTTCTCGCATCCTTTACCAACTTCCTTATTTATTGTAATTTGGATTTGATTAGTTGGACAATTATTGGCTGGATAGCTGGGTGGTCAGATTTGTTTATGCCATTTAACTTTATGACGAATATTAGAACCGTCATTTTACCGAATTACCTTGTTTTGGTTTCAAACGGGCAAGGGCGCGTATCTAACCCACCTAGACAGCTATCCTTCAGTCCAAACCTTAGTTTGGATCTTACAACATTTACTTATTCAAATAACAGAACAGTTAAGAACATGTACTTGAAATTAACGGCCTAGTAGTGAACAGCGTTATCTGTTGTTCAGCAGACTGCAATGATTAGTATACATTCCTCCATCTGGACGTGTACTGGTATATACAAGCAACAAGCACACTGACCATCGACAGTTTAGTTTTCCTTTGATGCAGAACGTTAAATTAAAGCGATTATTTTCAACGACTAAGGGTTTTGAAATGAATATACGTGTTACCTGGAAGAAATGACATAAAATTAGGATGCATACTTCGCAGTTGTCAAAATTCATGATTTATGTCTTTAATCAACGCTTCACAAATGAATAGTGATTTAGTAGATAGTCGGAATAAAACAGACGATCGTCATCATCACGACGTCCGTTCATAAGACATCCGGGGCTGTTATTATTCAGCAGAATACGTGAAAGTAATCTACACAAGAACATATAGTATAACAGTAATTTGCCTCAAAGCAATAACAGTTTGCATTGAGTAATCTATCAGCAGGCACCAATATACACTCTCATGATATATTATGTTTAATAGTTTTTAGAGCTCAGAAGCAATAACTCAGTTCAAAGTCTAACGTACTACTCACATATAATATTGATTAGCGGTTTGTGATTGTTTAAATGTTTGGCTAACCAGATAAACATGATAAAAGAAAGATCCGAAAACCTCGAAGCTCAGCGAAAAAAATGGAATTGCCGAAGTAAAAAAATGTGAATGTTCGGCATATAATCAACGAAACGTTACATCCGACGGCTAAATTCGCCAAACATCGCAGAGGTAAGCTTCCTAAAAACAATAGCTCAGTACACATACGCGAAGACCCAGGACCTAGCTTCTTATTGACATCAGCCTTCAGCAAAATGATAGTGGGTTGATTGGCCTATGTTAATCCCTACAGTTAACTTTCCAGTGAAGGTTTAGCTTCGGTTTGAAAATTTCCACTGATGGAGCTGACACCGATTGTTCACGCAGGGCGTTTCAGTTGTAGACTAATGGATGAGAAAAAGTCAGAACCCCACTCTGATTTATGAGATCAAGGGAACACACATCATTGATGAAAAAGAGGAAGATGAATGGACCAATCACACTCCCTTGTATAACCCGACTGTTTACATTCACAAGCGGACGATTTAGCTGCGTTCTGATAAAAAAGACTTAGACCAAGACAAGAGAGGATTCCATATGCCGGACGAAGAAAGTTTTAGAAGAAGAAGTTTGTGTAATACACTATCGAAAGCTAAAATGGAATGCTCAAATCGAAATACAGAATTATCATTGACTGACCAATATCTCTCCTGTAGGTAATTCAATCAAAAAATTCCAGATGCGATGTGAAGCATGTTGAAGAGCATCGCGAGTGGTCTTCAAATAATGTCCGAGAAAGATGATAAGAATCGTGAATGCAACCCATCGGGGCAAGTTATCTCACTAGGTTTGAGGTTAGTGATCAATCGAGGAAGTTTCCTGCCACATTCAAAGGTCCTATAGCCGGTATCTCAGTGGCGTGATCAGGACAAGTATTTTTAACAATACCCGTAGTTTGACAAAGTCCCAAACCTCGCCAAATCTGATTAAGCTAGTGCATCTGAATTTTCGTGTAACAGTAATAGAGGAGTACAATCACTACGCTTCGTTCTTCGTTTAAAGTGCGCAAACAATCGTCTCGAGTAAGTAGAGCCATCATATTTCAACTGTCCTTTGCAAATAATACGACATTTAGCTGTGTTTTTTACACATATTTCGGACTTTTCGGTATTCACATTTAAGTGATTCGTTTCCTGATGACGAGAGTAAGTCCAAGACGTTTGTCCTACGCCTCAGAAGCGTATGGGTTTCCTTATCGACTAACGAAGGGCAGTATGATAGATTACGTGTTGACTATGGGGTGGACGGCAATATTACGGACACAAACAAGACTGCAAACTTACCCCATTCATCTTTGATCGATGTGTAACAACTTAGGTTGATTGCTTAAGAGCTAACCGCGAATATCTTAGTGAATGTCAAAACACTAGGGCTCAAATATTCATGCACTTCCTTATATTGTATAAGCATTATGTTTCCTGTTGTTTTGTTTGGAATATTGAAAAACCTTGTGCATTTGAAAAGGTGACATCGTGCTCCAAATGTACTGTCCTCGATCAAAGTGAAGACATACTCTCCATTACTTTGGTTTGTTCTATTTGTAGAACTAGGGGTACTAACCGGTACAAAAGGTTCATCTGCATTGACCGACCTGTCTGTTGAGACAGGACAGTCTTTGATTACCGGAATGTTAGCTCGTCAGACATTCGAATGGGTTGAGGCAGATTTAGACTGTATACCACTTGTCCGAAACCGAAATTAAAGTACAACGTGATCACTATATGCTAGTAGGGGAAGGAATGTCAATGATATCGTCACAGAGGTGTGTAAAGACAAAGTTCAACAATAACGGTTCATGTTCCAAGTCAGTCTGTGTCGGTTTTGTGACACATTGTACAAGTGCACACCGGATAATAGTTGACAACAAGCTGCTGTCAAAACACACAACCGAAGTTGTAGGTTCTATCCAGTTGAAAGGCAGTGTGTTGAAATCTTCAACAATAAAACAACATTCTGCTTAAGGTTAGGTCATCGGCAAGACGACATGGAATACGGCATATTCATCTTCTAGTCACCAACCCGTGCCTAGACTTAATAGTACAGCAAGCTACCTCACATATATCACCATCATGAGTCTCCAATATGATCGTATGTACACGAGCTGTTTTCTCTAACATATAATGCCTCCATATGTACCTCCTTCCTTGTGATTTATAACTCTATCACTTCTATTACACAGCCATCATTCGCTACTGCAGCAACTTGACCACTAATATCCTGTAATTGAATTAACTGTTGAAATTTTCCCCAATTTACAGTTATTGAAAAAAGCGCTTTTGAAGACTTTTATTGAGTTTCGAAGACAATGATGTCACATAAGTATGTAGCGAAAATCATGGTTTTGTAATTTGTTTTGTTCTACCAATTAAGTAACTCCCGAAACGGTTCTTTTCTTGGCGGACTTTATGTATTATAAACGTTTATTCGCGCATTGGTTTTTAAAAAGTATGGAAAATAGCGACTCGGAATCTTCCGTTGATCAAAAGAGTTTCGCATCAGTTATCAACCTATTTGAACACTCACATGCGAGTTCAGCATCGGCCTCAAGCATAGACAGTGATGCGCAATATATAACTTCATCAACTAACCAAAACCTTAGAGGTGCTTCTACTTCGAAAACAGAATCCTTCCATCGTACAAATGAGTCAAACTTTTTTTCTTTTCTTAATGCGTATTTTGTTCGTGAATGTAGTACAAGTATTTCGGAAAGGACATGTACCCAGGACTCTAATACATACGTCCTTAAAGATAATGATTACAGGTGAGGACATACAAATCTTTTACTCGCAAATTTCAAAGCTTCGAACATGTTTGCTTCTTTTAGACAAATTTGTGGTGCATGCTCGTCTTCCACTTGGTAGTTATTGTCCTTAAAATATATTAAGTAACAAATGTTCCGATTAGCCAGTACAAATTTGGTTGTTTGATCAAGCTGCTAGAATAACCACTATATTAATTAGGCGCCAACTATCTACAGTTTGTGAGTGTGATGGTTTTCCACCTTTCGGAAACACATCAACTAATACATTCAGGGAAGAAGTTGACTAACACCAAGGTTTTGTTAAGAACATTGGGTTGATGTCCAAGTTCAGTCTAGGTTTAATTGGGGGGATTTCATCATGACATACTCTTGAAAAGTTCCATTTTGGCTTTTTGTTATTTCCTTATCCTACTACACTGAGTATGTCATCTTAAGATAGAGCAAGGGTGATAATAACAACATATTTTGACTATTTTCAGATTTTTGTCGAATCCTTGAATGTTGCGGTCAGTTTTAAAGTTTCATCTACAACCTATTTGACTTTTCAAAAAACGTGCATAGCTCCGACGTTTCAAAACCTTGGTGTGACTTCAAAAACTTTTTTTACTGAAATTTTAGGTATACTTTGTGGTGAATTGGAGAATAAAATGTTTTCACCATCAGTAAGAAAATCCTGCTTTTAATACTGTAAATTTCGTCTTAGAAACTCACGGAAAATAATTTATACATAGACAAACATAGCATTTTTGAGTGCAATAATATGTTATGGGAATAACTGTACTTAAATAAAACTGATATAGATGTTTTTGCTGGTCTACACCGTTTAGCTACTTAGCGAGCTGAAGTATTTCTAACAATAAATATTCTTCTAACGTTGGCGACAAAATGTTTGTGGGAGCCTACAAGCATCGGCCTAAATCACTTTGAAAATCAAAGTTTGTATTTTCTTTGTTAAAGATAATTCATAAACTGCATCACCCATTGAGTTCCATTTTCACACAGCGTGAATTCTATTTGATATTTTAGTGTAGTAGTCCAGATCTAAGTTGAATACGTCTTAGATGACGTAGTGAAGAGACAAAGTTTTTCGGGAGTGCGTGATGTATAGTTTCATTACTTTTCACAAGCTCCGATCACACATTGACCCATTTAAATATTTATACGAAAAATAGAGATCAAACTAGACAAATATGAATGAACGCAAAGATGACCAGGAAGAAAAGTTGTTTTGCTATATTTTTGGCCACACATGCTCGCTAATTATAATAGATTAGTATGAAAACATTTTGTGGAAGAAATGTAGTGGATCTCAAATATTAGTTTGTGGTTTTTCATAGATATACACTCTGGATCAATGTTTTGTACGATAGATTTACTTCTTCTCTAATAGTTTTGCTAGTTTAGATGCGGTTAACCATACTGAACAAAGTTTTATGATACCTATGAAAAATAAGATTACGTTCTGTTCATATAAGCTTTCTATAGACAAATCATTTGGTTTAACTACCTTCCCTTTGAATTATAAGTAGATATAGGGGGCAAGGCTAATTTATTTTTTTTTGCAGTGAATGAAAGGTTAATATGATTTCAAAGTGTCCAGTTTTCACAATAAAAACATCCAAACTTTCAGTTCTGTCTCAAACGACTACGCTGCTACCCGAGTATTAGTCGCAAAAAAGCACGTTTTCTGCTGGGTGAGGATAAACATTGAACATATGACAATGAGGTGTTGTCTAGAAATGATCCTAGAAGACCACATTAAACGATATCAATTTGTCTGACGGGACTAACCTCACATATGAAAGGAGTCTTATCAGAGTGTGATAGTAAATTTTTAATGGTTGTTAGAGGAAAAGAGATTGGACAGTTTATAAAATAAACATATCCACATGAAAAATCAACAGTCTTTCCAAGGAATAAACCTACAGACAAGGAGTTCATATCAAAGCGTTACGTTATATTTTCATTGATATTAATACCACAAGCAAAATTAAATGAGTTGAGTGTATCCTTTAAAGTACGCTCACACGAATATATTCAAATGTGGTTCAGTGGTTTTATTAATCAGTATGAGAAATTATTTACAGTTAATAAATATATAAATAAAATTAGACACAGAGGCTTATTAGTCTCGCAAAGTTCTGGCAATTCATATGAAGAAGACCATTAAGATTTAATAGGGTTTCAAATGTTGCATTTTTCTTGATTAATAGTGCTCATGCTGATCGGTTTCTGTATCATTGAATTAGTCGTATTTGCTAATTGTCTTTAGCTTAAGATAGCGAATCCATAGAATCATGGCTTTTCATTTTATTTCAACTAAAAAGCTATTTCAATGGTTAAGATCATGAGTCAGTTGAAGCTAGACCACCATAAAAAACCTGAAAGCACTGGACGGGCGTTTGGCCTAATTGTGGGACTCCTTAGCAGTGCGCATCCACGACCTCGCCGGCGCGAGCACTTAGCTACTAGACCACTGGGCCGGCATCCAACGGTGTTAATGTCTAACTTCAACTAATCCACGAAATTGAGTGACACATTCACCATTGTCTTCAGTGGTTTAATATCTCACAACAGACCTGGTTGAACTTCACTGATCATTACTTCTCACTAGAACTCCAGAATATACCTTGTGAAGCCAGTCACTGGTGAGCATATGTTGACTAATATCCACCAAACCCATCTGATATTAAAAAGCTATTATTAATCGAATATTGATACTGTATGTTTGGTCTGAAAAACATTTCACTTTTCGGATAGCTAAAACAGTTGAGTCTCGTAACGAATACATTTGGAACAGAACCTCATCGGACCCACAGATTATTCCTATACTTGTGGGCTCAAGCTTGATGAGCAGGCAAGATATTAGTTTTGATCTATTTATACAAAAGTGCCCATTAACCTTTCTATGCAGCCATGTATAAACTTTATCACAAGGATCAAGCTCACAACAAACGGTTTTGAGTAGACTCAAGCAAGTGCTTGTCACTCTCACTTACCTTAGTGTAAAAACGCAGTGCTTTTGAGGTAGATGAGGCTCATATTTCATCACGTCTTTGTTATTATAAGTTAAACTTATTAAAAATGTTCAAATAATAGTATACACTTGCTAACCTAAAGGCGAAATATTCCGATGAAACAAAATAAACGAAACTATGGAAATCTCAAAGCTTTACTCACAATAAAGTTTGGTCCCTTCTCTCAATGAACTAAAGTTTCGTCCATCAAAGATATTTCTCGATAATTTTGATTTAAATTTTATTTTCACAAAGGACATAAATAAACACTGTTTCCTTTTGTTTGTTATTCTTGTCCTTTGTTTTGTCACAGACAATTCAGTTGTTTCCTTAGATTTTCATATATTGGCTGGTTCAAACAGTCGATGTGTCAAACATGATATTTGCAATGCAATTAAAAGATTTACACATACTTTGTACAAATTCTTTATTGAAGAAACCAAATTATTCGGACACATTTATAGTTCGAAAAAAGACATTTACAAAACTCTGTTGAACCACTTTGTTAACAAATTCAGTGCAGTTAGATTAAAACCAAACTAACCCATTTATAGGTAGACTACAAACTCAAGTTCTCGTTGTTTAAACATTTTTGTTTGATTGTACATGACTGACTTCTATTTAGGTTTATAATCTCACCTGTTGATAGGACAGGTAAACGGATTTCTGTCGACGAACAAGTGTTTCGTTAAGTTGATAGTTACATTTTCATTCCTTTGTGTAAGGGTTTATTTCACCTAATTTTGGAGAATTGTAGAGGTACCTTCAATCACAATAACTTAAATCCTTGCATTCTGTACCATACGACTATTTTTCAATTGATTATCAGTCTAATTTGGTCCTTATTTGACAAACATTGACTATTAATGGACTACTTAAAATTGCTTGTCAAGTGACTAAGTATTTATATTTCTGTTGTTGTTCATGACAGAAACTACCATTAACTATTCATTTGAAGATATAGTTAAGTCTTATTTCATAATAAAAACTTTATCAACCAAAAATACGCGAATGCACACAAAAGCCATACTTTTGAATTACGCAGAAAGTAAGAGAGTAATGGCTAAATAGAAATTTTCCTATCATTTAAGTGTAATAAATGAATAAACAGAATAATTGTTTTCAACACAATTTCGATTTTCCTTCTGCTAATATTTATTAGATCGGCAACTTATTATAAAGCTATGCTAAGTGTAAACTGACATAGAACAATTGCGTAAGTATAATGACTAGATGCAGCAAAAAGGAGATCGGACTACTAATTTCTTAGTTCGTACGTTGAAGTCCTTTGGCACTAGCGATATATAAAAAGTAGGATTTCTGTAACAGATCGCACATGTATGGTGGCTAAATATTCGCTTGACTAATCAATATTTATAAGATGCTTGGAATGTTTATCTTCGTGTGTTGTTTAGGCTGGGAATGGTTGAAGTATGGACATTCGTTTTTCTTTGATGTGTAAATAATTACAACAACGGTGTTCAAACGACAGTACTTGGTACTTTTTTATTTAGGAAACCTACATTCTGTAACTGCAAACTTCACGATGAGAAAAATGCTGCTTCTGGTTGGTTCACATGTCAATTACGATATTACATTCAGAAAAGGTTGAACATTGTATTTAGAGCAATACGAAATTTCCAGAGGAATACATTTATTGAAACTCAATAGGCTATATAAGATTTTGATGATGAAGTGATAAGAGCAACTGTCAAGTTCAGGTAGCCATTTTCCGGAGAATTAGTTTGCAAATATCGTATGTGCATTCAGTGACCTATTGCTTGGTTGCACGCTTTATACGGCCATATTTGTAAGCTTTCGTCTAGCTCAATGAGTACTAAATTACGTTTTCTATTTGTTAGTTACAGTTAATTAATTATAAATCTGTCACTTAGCTTTGTATCACAAACATTATAGTTGTAAACCAGTTGAAATTAATTATTGAGGATGCATTCTGGCGTTACATCTTATGACGTTAGTAGGACATAGTAGTTGACTGACTTTTGGAGTGTTGTTGTGGTGTGTACTACGGATGTCGACAGATATAAGTAGTATGTATCATCAACCGGAAGTGAAATGCCTGGAGGCAGAAGGTTAAGTTCCAAGAAAAGAGAACGAGAACAAAGAATCATTGGTGTGGAAACGAAAGAACATTGAAGTCTGAGACGATTGACTGATATTTGCAAGATGAACAGTCAAGTTTGAAACAGTTGATTGACATTTTGCAAATTAACTAGTTACTGTATGGTTCTCAAATTTTACTAAGATGTTCTGTAATGTTGTATTCAGATGCATTCATTTGTGCCCACTTGTGTTCTCGTTTACTACATTATGACCGGTGGTTTGAAAATTGGTGAATTGTACATAGGTAATCAGTCGTTGAGAATATAAGTTTGTGTGCTTAAGTGAAAATTCACAACTGACGTTCATAAACTATTTGATGATAAGCTAACTAATTTCAACAGGTAAAACAAAACACTGATGAGCTGATAGGAGTAAATGATCTTCATACTACTGGCGATAACAATGCAAAATCGAATGCTGAAAATTTTTCAACTAATCATATTTTCTTGCCCTCAGTTTCCAAAAGTACATTTGACAACACGAAGGATTTTTATGAATTTTTCGTTAGTTTTTCACAACGTTGTCCATAAACACTATGTTTCTGTACACTGCTAGTTGTTGAGTATCATTTGAAAGTCAGACGAACTGATCAAATTTAGAGGAAAATATACCATTATTGGAACGACGTTGGTTAAAGTCCGTTTATTTTCACTGAATAGAACCTAATCTAGTGATGGTGTTTAAAGCTATACTAGAAGTAGACACGGAATTTCACATAACCCTATGTTTATAATTCAACAGTTTTTCTGTCATTAAACTGGATACCTTTTTCTTCATTATACTATAACATGTTATTATTATCAACAACTGCATACTTAGTTCACTTTAATGCAATAAATTTGTTGATATCTGTATCATTCTTTTGTTTCACGACTCAAGCGGCTGTGACAAAATATAGTTCGTGCACTCCAGAATTATTCTAAGCATTATTAGAAGCCAGTCTTAAGTATGAAAGTTTTTTATCTTAGTTTTAGATTAATTCAATAAATTCAGACTCAAATTTTTTAGTGAACCGCATCAAGTATTTCAGTGTTTCGTAGCCAAGCATTCTAAAAACTTTGCTCTAGAGTTCTAGTGAGAAGCAGTGACCAGTGTAGTTCATCCGGGTCTGTTGTGAGATATTAAATAAATGAAGACGATAGTGGATGTGTCGCTCGATTCTGTGGATTAGCTGAAGTTAGACAATAACACCGTTGGATACCGGCTCAGTGGTCTAGAGGTTAAGCGCTCGTGCTCGGAACCGATAGATCCTGGGTTTGAATCTCGAGAGGCGGGATCGTTGATGAGCGCTGCTGAGGAGTCCCACAATAGGACAAAACGGCCGTCCAGCGCTTCCAGGTTTTCTATGGTGGTCTAACCTTAATTGACTCATGATCTAAATTATTGAAATTACTATGATATACACAAAAACCCCTTCTGATATTATCTGAATTCACCAAAGAATAGTTAGATATTGTCATTCTATTTGTAAGCTAAGCATAACAAATAGTTGTATAACCTAGTTATAATTTACTTTTTGAATTTTAATCTTTTATTTTGATAAAAATATCTATTTTAGTAAATATTTTGTATTCAAAAAAAATAAAATTTACAAACAATAAAAGAAAATGTTTCTTGGATAAACTAAAATTTGAATAAATATTTTTAATTTCCTAAATCATGTGTGGAGTATTCCTCCAACAAAATATGGTATAAATAAACCATCACAATTACAAAATCAACTTTTGTTAAAATTCAGAGTCATGATGAATACAAATTTTATGAAAAAACTGAATCGCATAATTTATAATGTATAGTATTAGACAAAATGTGAAAATGAATTCAGGAAGTGATTTTATGACACTGGAAACTGTTATTTTTCTTTGTGTTATCACATCCATACCTATCATATTTTAATATTACTTTCAATTTTAATTTTTAGCAACCAGTCGAAAAGTGTCCAAGCACCATACAAGTTAAAAGACCGCTTTACTTCTATTCAAACATCATCTGTTGATTTAAATATCTATTCTAATTCATCAACTGCGTTTCCTATTGATGTTATAAAAAAATTACATTTACCACAGTACAGACCGGTACCTGCGCATAAGTTAGGAATTATGTCAGAGGATTTAAGTTCAGCATTTCCAGTTTTAAACTTTACATCAAAACAAAAACAAGAACATTCAGTTCAGCAGGTGCCATTACCAGAATCGCGGTTATCCTCTCCCTTGAAGATCACATCAGCAATATTGCCAACAACGATTAACACATCACTGGAAAATCAATCTGTTGGGCTGGCAACTAAATGTGATAACTCTTTAACACAGTCATACGATAAGATATCTATGCGATTAATCTTAACTGATGGGGATCAAAATTATTCTGCGTATAACTCAAGAATATATGATTATAATAAACATTTTCATGAACAAACGATTACGTTAACAGATCAAAATATAAATAACTCAGAAAAGTCAGCTGCGACTAAGTTTTATCATCCTGGAGGTGATTCAGGGAAGTTCTATGAATTATCGCTGTTTTGTCTTTATATTGCTATAGCATAGACTAGTTACTTATTGATTTGATATTATATTATCTGTCATCATGGATGACGACTAAGTCGGAAATTAATTGCATTGCCATTCTCGTAGGTTGCTCTTATATTATGTCGGTATTTTACATTATGCACCCTTAAAAAATAAATCATAGGTAATTGTTTCAGACATCAGGTATTACGTGTGTTGATGCGGACAATAACACCATATAAGAAAACAAATTCGGATAGCTTTTGCTTATTGTAAATTTGCCAGTAAAAAACTTATGCGAAAAATGTCAGTGTACTTCTAGAATACTGTGTGTGGTCATTTGAGTAACAAAAACTGTCAAACTAAAAAGGTGGAGTTAATGGATGAAATATTTTGAGTAACTGTGTCTTTCAGATAATATTTCAAAAATATAACTCTAAAAGTATACCCTTTTAATCCTGTATATTACTTAATAACGTAGAAGTAAAAGCTAAGTTGATATGTTTTTGCAATCTACTCATCGCGTTTATCCATATGCTTAAAAATAAAGATCAAAGAGGGTTTGTTATTAAATTAGTCACTACCGTATGACGACTCAAAGGTTAAAACTATTCATATGTGTTTTGCAAACATTCATATAGTTTAAAGATAGCTTTTTTCATGAAATGACGTCATCGGAGAATGAAGATCACGGTTCTACTCCACGTGAAGCTGTCGATACGCATTGCTAAAGATTCGCAAGCTGAAACGAAGTAGCATTCTGCTGCTTTCTCTAATTGCGAGGTTCTCCATTCTGTTTCACCTTTAATCACAAATCTTATAAAATTCCAGTTTGGTAAAAGTGCATTTTATATTAAACGACTCTAAGAAACCAAGTTTTTATACAAGAGACTTAGGATCACTTCCTCCTAAGTCTTAAAGTGTGGGTGGTTGTTACGAAATTGACGTAGCCTGGGTGATGAAAATGATCAAGTAACAGGTGAAGGTTAAATAATAAAGAACATATGGAACAAAAAACTGAATGTTTGGACTATATAACTTGTTTGGCCCGATCCACAATGACAATAACGAGCAAATGGATCGACAAGTCACTTGATTACTGTAGATTGTGCTTGAACTATAGAGTCCAAAAAATACTTCGATTATATTCATTTTTTAACTGCCTGAACATAATGCCTTATAAGTATTAGCATTTTCAAGAAATTTAGTTTGAGCTTTTGGGGTATGTAATTATGAACTAACTAACTACTTCTTATGACTAATATGTTCATTAGTTAATGGCAAACTTACGACCGTTTATTTATAAACAACATTCTCTGATTTCTTTAAAATATCATCCAAAATGTAATATTTGTGTAAAGATTCTGTAGTCTCTGCTTGACTGAAGATTACGATGCCGAGTTCATTGAGTAAATCAACCACTTCTTAAACCGCATAGACAATTTATGATATCTTGGGGATTGAAATGTTGAATGAACGATAGCAAAATTAAGCAAAGGAAAATATTAAAACGTTTAGTTGTAACAGTATTCTTTTCACTAATTTAATGATAAAAATGTTTAAACGACAAAGTGTGAACATGTCAATATTGACATTAATTTATCGGTTATTATTACGCAATTCTTAATCGCGGAGCTTAAGTGTTTTGTGAGAATAAACCTATTGGCGTTAGGTTTGTGTCGGTTTTGAAGTGTCCGATAAGTTAAAAGTCTTTGAAACCATTTTAAATAAACTATATCCATATTGTTACCAATCATACCATAATTACTTATTTTGTGTGCGAATTAACACATGTTTTTACTAACTGATTGTTTTGTGACTCTAAGAAGCATTTCGTGTTGAATGATTTGGCTCTATGCACTATGTATCTATTAAAGCTAGAAACGCAATACAGTCACAACCACTGGTTTATAAACATGTTTATAAATATGAGTACCTTCAGTTTAGTAAAGTGTGATAAGAAGAATGACTATCAATACCTGCACTCTAACCTTTAAAATTTATGCAAGCCAAGTATGCAGGGAATGAAAAGAAATGATAATTTTAACTTGGTTTTAGAGTCAATCTGTATCGACAGACACGGAGTTCTAATTCTTTTCTGTTAATTTAATTGGAATTTGTGCATTATCAGAACTCGGAACTTTGCCATCATATAATTATTTAAAGCATTAAATCTAATACATTGATAGATAACATTAAAACTGCAGGTTCAGAAATTCATTTAAAAGATAATAGGAAGTCTGAGTATATTTTGTGAATATTATATGCTTCAATGGTTTAGTCACAATTTCGAAAAATTTAGCCTTTTTTATAAAGTGAAAAATATGAAAAATGCCTCAGGGTTATTTATTTGTTACCATTTTCTGGATGAGTTCAAACGAAAAATCTTTACAAGCGTCATCTTGTTGACTTTTCAAATAGTTCATATATGCTAGTCTGAGGATTAAGTCTTTCTACTAAACTTTTCTCATAGTCAATGTGAGAACTAATCAAGAAGAAAACAATGTAGCAACATAAAGAGAACACGAATAACCTGTTCGTTTTCACTGGTTCTAATGTGATTCAAAAGGATTACGTTTGTTTTTATCTGATTTATGGATAATTTTAAATATATATTTTTGAATAGCTGAGTAAATAAAATGTTATGTGTTCTTACTTTGGCTGTCAAAACTGATAAGTTTCGAAAACACTGATAATTCTAATAGGATTTCTGTTGGGTTTTTAAGATAGATATTAAACTGTATTGAAAATGCTTATGACTTAACGTCAGCCAACTACATTTGAAATTGAGAGAATCACATCGTTAATTACTGATAGGTAGAAATATGTTCTTAAGATTTACTACCCAGATTGTGATAGTAGGTCACATATATACGAATATAAAATGGTTTGTCGAAAAAGTATTCACTTTAAAAAAACGAATAAATAAAGCACTTTTTAGAAACTATTTTACAGATAGGACAGATTATACAACTGTCGACCAAGTTCATAACTGATAAGAGGTAAGATATGTTATGTATCATGGACTTTACTAATTATTGACTAAATAGTATTTAAACTGTTCGAAAACGACAATTAATCGCCAGATAAAACCCAAGATATGCTTTTCAATAATTTCTCATCAGGTTCTACAATTATAAATCCAAATTAATAATCCATAAAATTAGCCAGATTTAAGGCAGAGTACATCATTTAAAATTGTCACGTGTGAATCAAGAACTGTTCTTTGTCATATAAATCAAATCAAATTACCAATGTTGGGGCTAATTTGATTTATATGACAATGAACAGATATTGATTCACATATCACAATTTTAAATGATGTACTCTGCCTTAAATCTGGCTAATTTTATGGATTAATAATTTGGATTTATAATTGTAGAACCTGATGAGAAATTATCGAAAAGAATATTCTTCGTTCATACAACTGTGTTCTAATATGATGGATATTTTTCAGCGATCCAAGATATACCTCATTAATTAGCACTGTAGGGTGCAACACGAAGCGTTCACAGAATTCTAAGACAATACTCAGATAAAGTTTTCTGCAATACAGCTAACACGTATCAAAATACATTAGTTTGAGTAAAAGACAAATTCCACCTACCTCTTATTCTTGACTATGTTGCCTAACCGTTTGAATCAGATTTGTTGTTCTATCGAGCAATTATTACTCAGGCCTAAAATACATTTGAATCACTCAAAAGATGGCCCAACAATTCTTCAGGACTTACAAGTCTAAAAGTTATGATTAGCAATGGCTGGGCTGGTTATACATTGGTAAAACCTAGTTTGGAATTATGGCTTATTCAGCTGAATAAATGTTCACTAATTTATTTCCTTGAATTCCAAATACCAGTTTAAATCATTCTACATACATAAACTGACGTCACTAGTAGCGTCAAGTACTTGTAGCATCAAGACTTTGTATACGGAGGATTTCCGTTTCTAAATTTCTATATCGAAACGTATCTGAATGCATCGTTCTACTTTGGAAAATTGATTCTTGACAAAGTTAGCATTGATGTATATATTGCTATTAAAAACTTCTAAAGATTTCGTCGTTTTTATTACCGTAATTACTGTTAGGTTACCAGAAGAGTGTATAATCAATTATTAATTAGTGAGAGTAATTACTTTATTTTTTATGTGAAAACATACAGAACGACTTTTGTTTCTGGCTTGTATTTAAAAGATTTGAAAGTTTTTATTTCTTTTCGTTCGTACTATGAACATAACCTAAAAGCATAATTAATTTCTGCTTCGGTAGATATCACTAGTGAAATCAATAGGATACCCAAATGAATATATCATGTTTTCAAGAACACGGCATTAAAAGAAATGCGAAGTAGTTCGAAAATTGAAGACAGTGCTGGGAAATCTTGACTCATTACTTTAGCCATATTCAAAACTTTAATCTGTTCAGGCCATAGCCATCATAAAATTTAGAGAGAAAAGAAGGGTTCACTTGTGTACATTTAGTTACCAGATTTGCACATTTTCGCCCTTGATATATATTTAGCTTCAATTAAATTGTTGTTTCCAGAAATATAGTCGATAAATTTTCATCACTGAAAAGTAAATTTTGACAGTATTATTACTTAATTAATGACGAATTATCGAATGACACAAGGATACACAATGAAAACAAGAAAACAGCCGGTAAGGTTATTTTGTTTTACATCAATTAGATTATGAAATAATTCCCATCCTCGTAAGCAAGATGAGATTTGTAGGATAAAATAAATAAAACTCAAAGATCATTGGGTGTAATATTGCAATGTCTGATAGGCTTGGAATATGTGTTGTATATATTGAGTACTTTCAGAGCTATTAATTAACAGAAGTTTTCACTATCTATATACTTGGGTAATTAACTGAATTTCATTAAGACTTGTAAGTTAAAACATAAATTATTGAACAAACCTTGATTTGACCATTAAATTTAGACTCATTCATTATCCATTTTGTCATGTTTGATTGAATCGTCAATTCTTTTTCTTTGTGTTCTATGTTACTAAATGTTTTACATTACTTTT